CGAATTTTCAGGTTATTGCTTTCGTTATGTAGCAGCTTGCGTTATTTGTCAAACTACCCCGAGCACAGACATATGTTCAATTTCCATCTCTCCTATGCTATGTGCTGAAACTGATCCAGCCGATGAAGTGGCTAGTATTTACTAATAAACGTTATATTTAGTGGGTAAACATATTTGAGTAGACATCTGCGATTTTTTTTTAAATTAATATAACCCGGCCTAGAGATGAAACGTCTTATGTAACTCACGATTAGAATCGATCTTGTAATTTTATTTTAATCTGAGAAAACATACACGTGTTTTAACAGCAAACCTTACACTACAGCTCGTGTTCAATTACATCATTGTGGATGTTCAGCAACTACATCCGCTATAGTGAATCTCGTGCCCGAAATGTAAATAAAATAATTTAACTAACTGATTTTCTTTTAATACGACATTATTTCTTTACTCTAGGCCAGTATTTCCCATTTTTTCTTTCCTCTGGGGCCGCATTTTCAGAGTGTAAATTTGCTGGCGCCTCACCAAATAGATTTCTCATGTCCAGTAGCTGTTAATGCTCATTCCTGTATTGATATTTATTGTATATAAGAATACAATTATGGCACAAGGCCGAAAAAGCGGAGGGGTTGAGGCTGGTCTTCACTAAATATCTTATACCTAGCTAATCCGATTCACGACCCATTCACTCATTACAATTTGCACATTCACCACAAAAATTAGTCCGTCGTCAACTAATCCTCTATACACCATAATACCACATCCTCTCAAGGGTTACAAAAACGCGCCCCATACTATAAAAATTTAATGATCATAAATTATATATAAAATTCTAAAGATGAAAAATGTGAGGGAAGGGAGATGAACCCAATAACAAACTAAACACGAACACAAAGTAAACTAAACATAACTGACGTTAGTAGGGCCTGTCCAACCCTCAAGAAGGAGAGAGGCCGCTGAATTCTGCCCATTGGACAAAATCAAGAGGCTCTCTCGCTAGGGGAGTGGGAAAGAAGAAAATATACGGACAGGGGAAATATAAATGCTAACCCCGTCGAGATGAAAAGGGGACCAAAACAAACTGGGGAGGTTGGGAATCTCGACTTGGATCATAACTAAAGTGGCAGCCGGGAACAGGCCAGGAACGACACTTAACTAGGTACACAGAAGCTTGTCTAACCTAACCAAGGGGAGGGCTCTATAGGAAACCATCCCGATGTGACGTAGGTTGTTCTAAAAGAGAAAATCAAGCTTAGCTCCGTTCAAACGAACCAAGCTCGCCTCTTTCACCCACCTTTCGCTGAAGACTCTAGAATGCAAGCGTTTTCTATCAGTTCTAATATTCCTCTTGAGCTGCATTGATGGGGATTCCTTTCTAACCATTGTTTTTAGCATGACCCGAATGTAGTCTGACGTCACAATCTTTAATATATAATTTTTTTCTTTTTGATTTACATACGATATTCATTTCGTTGTATACTGTCAAGAGTTTAGATATTTATTCGTATGATTTTGTACAAAATGTGACACAAGGCCAAAAAGGGGATTGGGGGAAAAGGATAGTCTTCTTCTGTCTTAATTTCTAAACTTAGTTAGTCCCAAAGACTGACCCAAACATACCAACAATAGTCCTATCACCAAAACAACACATTCACCCCTACCTTTCTTACTACATCCACCATAATACCTCAATATCTCTATGAAATCCTAAATTGTCTCCATATGTAAATTTCAGTTTAGATATTTCTGAACGGGTTTGGTACCAGACATGGCATCCATATGAAAGTCTCTGACAAGGTTAAGAACATGATTCGAGTTTTTAGGTTAATGCTTTGGTTATGTAGCAGCTTGCGTTATTTGTGAAACTACCCCGAGCGTAGACATATGTTCAATTTCCATATCTCCTATACTATTTGTTGTAACTGATCCATATATCATCATCATCTGTCTCACGACTGCTTCAGTTGTCTCGGGTGACCTGAGAGCAGAAGAAACGGACTCTTCTTCCTGGTAATCATTTCTTCCTGGTTGTCAGATATCTTGACGCTACCCATCCCTGATTCAAGCAGTTGACCTACAGTTGAAGACCAGAGGATATGGTATGGAACGCTTTCGGTCCGTACAACTAGCCCATCAGATTTTGAAATCCTTCTCCTAGACCGGCAGCTACCCTATATGAATCTGTCTGTCTTGCAATTTACCCATACTTGGTGGGAGAATCAAATACCCGGAAATGTACACGTGACGTCTGTCTAAACAATGAAAATAAAGCAGCATGGAATTTAAAAATACAAACAATTACATATTCAAATTCTTAAAATTCGGCTAAATGAATAGCGAATCATATTTTGAAATGTTTTCTTTATTTATTTGCCGTTTCCTTAGAAGGAAAAGTTCCGCGTTCTTTGAATGAACAATTAGTGTTGCTGTAGGTTGAAATTTATAAAATCTTTCTCTTACGATGATTTTTCAGGAAAATAGATTTCTCATGTACAGTAGCTCTTAATGTTCATTCCTCTATTGATGTGGGATTCCTTTCTAACCTTTGTTTTTGGCACGACCCGAAAGTAGTCGAACGTCACAATCTTTATTATTGCCTTTTTTTTATCTCTTCGATTTACATTCGATATCCATTTCGTTGTATAATTATTTATTGTATTTAAAATACAATAACGGCACAAGGCCAAAATGAGGAGGGATTGAGGCTGATCATCACTATTTTATATCTAGCTAATCGGATTCACGACCCATTCACACATTACAATTTCCACATTGACCATAAGAACTCGTCCGTCAGCATTCAATCCTCCATAGACCATAATACCGCATCCTCTCAAGGGGAACCTACAAAACGCGTCCCTTGCCATAAAAATCAAATGATTATAAAATATATACTTAAAAATGTATGGATGAATAGAATGAGAGGGGAGGGAATGAACCCCCAAAACAAACTAAATATAAACACAAAGTAAATTAAACATAACTGATGTTAGTAGGGCCCACCCAACCCTCATAAAAGAGAGGCCGCTGTATTCTGCCCCTTGGACAAAATTAACAGGCTCTCCCGCTAAAGGAGTGGGAAAGGAGAAAAAATATACGGACATGGGAAATAAAAAGCTGACCCTGTCGAGATAAAAAGGGACTGAAACAAATTGGGGAGGTTGGGAATCTCAACTTGGATCATAACCAAAGAGGCTGCCGGGAACAGGCTAGGAACAACACTTACATTAACTAGGTACACAAAAGTTTGTCTAACCTAACCAAGGTGAGGGTTTCCACAGGAAACCACCCCGATGTGCCGTAGGTTGACTTAGAAGAGAAAATCAAGGCTAGCCCCGTTCAGACGAACCAAGCTCGCGTCTTTCATCCACCTTTCGCTGTACTGTCGAATGCAAGCGTTTTCTATCAGTTCTGTCAAAAGTTTAGATATTTCTGAACTGGTTTCGTACCAGGCATAGCATCCATATGCAAGTCTCAATCTGACAAGGCTTTTTAAGAACATGATTCGAGTTTTCAGGTTAATGCTTTGCTTATGTAGTAGACTACCCCGAGCACAGTTATATATAGTGAGTAAATATGTTGGAATAGACGTCCGCGTTCTTTTTAAAATTAATACATGCCAGCCTAGAGATGTAACGTCTCATGTAACTCCTGATTAGAATTGATCCTGTAATTTCCTGTTAATCTGCTTTCCATTGAAGTTTATAAAATCTATTTCTTAAAACAATTTTTCAGGGAAATATTTTTTCAAGTCCAGTAGCTGTTATCGCTCTTTCCAGTATTTATGGGGGATTTCCTTCCTAACCTTTTATTTGAAGTAGTGTAAAATATCAACATCTTGATTATGTCATTATATTCTATTTGATTTACACGTGATATCCATTTTAGTTGTTGCTGGTGTTGATAGTCTTCAGTTTCTTTTCTATTTTTTATTTCTGTGATTCCGTAACGCGTGTCCACAATCTTCAAAGAAGGAGGATCTTTGCAAAAATAAAAAAAAACACAGATTTCACTTGCTCAAAGTTTATTAACCAATGATCTCATAAACCAGTATGCGAGTATCGATATTTCTGAACGGAGTTGGCGCCATTAATGGCATTTATATAAAAATCTGGATCTGATGACGCTATTTAAGAACATGACGTGTGTAATCACCATTGGAGATGTGAATTTGGTTAAAACTCGTCAGCGTTATCAAAGAGCAATGCTGCGAAAGGTTTCCGGTGATTTATTACTATAGAAATCCCAACAGATTCAATGAGCAAATAAAAATAAGATAAATAGATCAATTTTCCCTACAAAAATAGTGTTCTTCGAGATAATCACTACATATTGGCTACGCATTTCCTTCCGCAATGATCAAGATGTCGTATGCCAAGTTCATAAACATCTGCGGCAAAGGGGAGCAAACCTTTCAAGTTTATTCTTATGTGCTTAATAGACACGGAAAATGTAGAATTTCAGTGAGGTATTATTTCGATAAAACTGACCTTATTAAGACGATAGCGTTTATTCATTTTTGACTTTTTTTGAAAATTTAAATGATTTCCAACCCTTTTATTAAGACGCCTTGTTTATTGCATATTGAGAATAAAAAAATTTCCCCCCACCACCCATGATGATAGTTCTCCCTTGTATTATGCACCAATTAGTAATTATTCCTCTGTTTGGAGAAGCTCAGTGATGCAGGAATGGTTTTGGTTATTGCTAGTATTCGTCGTTTCCCACAAAGAAATTTTTGGCATTCATTGACCGAGCAGCCAGTACTGCTTTCAGTTGAAGTTTATAAAATCTATTTCTTAAAACAATTTTTCAGGAAAATACTATATCCTTAGACAAGTCTATCCACATGGCTTGCCTAATCCAAAGATGATGTTCTCTACATATCAAGGTTAGTCACTACTTCCCTATTCTCTCCATATGTCAAAAATCTTCTCGTTGTACTTATTCTAAAACAGCTCTCTCTTCCTAATGACAGATTTCCACATATTCGATCCTGAATGAGCCGATTCTCTCCAAACGTCAGGGTTTGTCCCAAGTCCAAATCCTGAAACAGTTCTCGTCAGAATCCATCTTGCCTATTTACATATCAATCATCCATCCGTGCATTGAATACAGTTGTCATATACAAGGACCTGTAATGTAATTAATCCTGACCAGTGATATGGAGCTATGGAATTCACATTAGAACAGAAAAAAATCATTGTTATCTGCCAAAAATATTTATGAAATATTCACTCACAAAAGAACAAGAATTATTCTTAGGAAGCAAAATATATTTCAGCTTTTAAAAAATGCACAAGAGGTTGACATGCAAAAAACATATATAAATTACCCGTGACAGTCATATTTCATGCATATGGTAGAATTAGCGAATAATTAACTTTAGCTTTCCTATTCTTGCGAGAGACAGGGATCTATCATTTCTCTACACCTCAGCTATAAGTTAAATAATAAGGTAAACTGGTTCTCTAAGATTTGGTCGCGACCAATCTAGGAGAAAGATAACTCTATGAAAATGATACTGGGAAACCACTCTAATATCTTTCCCAAGGATTCATGGTAATTCACAAATCTTAAACAAAAGTACTCTGTGAAGGAGACTTTGGGAAACAACTCTACTATGTTTCCAACGGAGTCATGGGAATTCACAGACCATAATTAAAAAGCATCCCTGGAAATGGTAACGAGAAACCACTCCTTATCTTTCCCAAGAAGTCGTGGCAATTCACAGATCATAAAGAAAATTGCTCTGTGGAAAAGCCAAAGGGAAACCATTCCACTGTCTTGCCACCGGAGTTTGGAAATTCACAGATCGTAATTAAACGGAATCTGTGGAAATGTTACAGCTCGATTGTTTGATCTAATACAATCATTCCTGTCAAACCGTGAATTGAAGGTCGTTCTCAACGGATTCTCCTCCAGTTCCTATCCCACGAACGCAGGTGTTCCCCAAGGCTCCATCCTTGTCCCCACTCTTATTCCTTATTTTCGTCAACGACTTTTCTGATGCCATAGATTCCCAAGTTGGCATCTACGCGGACGACACTACAATTTACTCCTGCCTCAAAAACAAATCTAGTGTCGGTGACAAAACTAACCTGGCCGTGCGTCTTGAAATGGATCTCCAATCGGTTGTTAATTGGGGCAAGAATTGGCTGGTCAACTTTAACGCCTCAAAAACTAAACTATTCTCTATTAATCCCCATAGAGATCCTTACTTGTCCCCCCATTAGAATGTCTGATAGTCAACTTCTTAAGAGCATCTCCCTCCGTCTGCTCGGTCTCACGTTGACTGCTGACCTGAGATGGAACAAACACATTGAGTCAATTGCTTCTTCCACCACGAGGAAAGTTGGCTCTCTGTGCCGCGCCAGGAAATTTTTCTCCCCGGAATCGATCCTTCAAATATACAAATCAACCATTCGCCCTTGCATGGAGTATTGCTGCCATATATGGTCTGGGGCACCTTCTGTTTACCTGGGAGTTCTTGACAAGATCCAGAGACGGATATGTAATATAATTGGCCCTGATCTGGCGTCTCGTCTGCAGTCACTCTCTCACAGACGTGCCGTCGCCTCTCTGTCTTTTTTTACAACTACTTTCATGGTAATTGCTCTGATGAGCTGCTCACTGGTTCCCAGACTCCATGAATTAAGCGCCCTACGAGGCTGGCATCCCGCTCCCACCCTTACACTGTAGAAACTTTTAAATGTAGCCGTCTCTTCTACACCAATAGCTTCATACCTCGCACTTCTCGCCTGTGGAACACCCTTCCCTATTACTGTTTCCCTGAGAGCTATAATCTCCAACTATTAAAATGTAATGTCAATCGACACCTCCAGTTACCTTGATCTACCCGCTATCCCTCTCCTCATCCTTTCTTCTATCACTCCTATCTGCTCCAAATCTTCTGCAACCCCCTGCATCCTCGGGGCGTAATGCTTAAAAAAAAACAAAAACAACGAGAAACTACTCAATTATCTTACCCAACAGATCATGGCAATTCACAGATCATAAAGAAAATTGTTCTATGGAAAATGCAAAAGGAAACCATTCCACTGTCTTGTCATCGGAGTCTTGGAAATTCACAGATCGTAATTAAAATTCAAATCTTTGAAATGGAGTCATGGGAATACACACATCATAATTAAACGGAATTTGTGGAGACAACAAAGGGAAATCATTCCACTATCTTTCGCAAGAGGTCATTGCAACTCATAGATCACAAAGAAAAGGAATCTGTGGAGAGACATGCCCACTTATATTATGAAAGTAGTTATTTTTTAAAATAAAATTCTCATTCTGAAGCAACAGGAACACGTTGTCGTTTCATATCTTCCATCTAGAAATATACGTAAGAGAAAATGTTCAAATTAACACGTCAGTGTTTTGACTTTGATGGATTGGATTTTAATTAAATTTTTCATATTTGCAAAAAAACTATTAATATTAAAGATTTATGTCTCTATATATTTTTCTTTCTCTATTTTCAAATATATTAATGCGCTCGGAATGCGATCACATATTTCACCGCTATAAATTATGAGCCAACCAGCCATATCATTTTCATGTAGATTTGATGTTTCTGGACGATTTCATGCGCGTCTGTATCGCTTAAGTCAATGCCTGGCCTAAAATTATTTGTACATTTTTTTAATTAAAAATTTTATTTGCTACTGAATAATTTCAATGAAAGGATCTTTTCTGTTAATTCACCACAAAATAAAAAGAATTTATATTTAATAAAATTCACAACAAATTCTCTCAGAGCGAGACCGTTTCATTGCACTGCGGTTCGGTTGACCTTTGCGATCGCCCCCAAATGTGGGCGACTCGTGTGGGCTATTTTTACATTTCCCCTCACTACGATAAACAAGCCAAAAATAGATTTTTTTATTTTTTTTTTTTTAATTGTAAAAAAAAAAAATTGTTAGTTCCTCGAGTATCATCTGCACTTATGAAACGTGAATAACTGTCTGATTTTTGGTAAGTTTTCATTCTGAGGATTGGAGTTGTTGCGAGGTAAGCTAAACAAATTTTGATTTAGAATTTATTACTTCAAAAGAGTGCCAAAAATTTTATGAGAAATACATATTTCTTTTTTGTTTTTTTTTATTTACAATTTATAATTTCTAAGAGTGAATTAATATTTTCGATAAGTAACTTTACATTATTTAGTGTGAATTAACATAAAATATTCAACTTTTATAATGAATAGATTTTTTTTTAGAGTTTAAAAATGAACGTTTTTCGATGTGAAATTAGTCGTAGCTTTACACACGTTTCAATTATACCATTTTTATTTGAATTCATTTTTGTTCTATTCTCTCTTTACATCTTTATCCAGTCGCTACACTACACCAATTCAATGTTGCCCACAGAGCCTTGTCTTGGGTGTTAAAGTTTCAAGATCATTATGGGTGCTTAATTTTCAAGAAAGGGGCAAACTAGATGATGCTCCATAGGTTGTAATTGTTTGTATTGCCAGTTGGGGGTCATCATCATTAGCATATACCAATTTCCGACGGTTGGCTTTAGAGCTGTTTGAAAGCGATTTAGACAGGGCCAGAATGGAGAGGCTTCACTAAAACCTGATGTTGGAGCGATTATGTAGAGCTGAGAGAGAGAGTCTGTGTTCCACGTTTGTTAAGGTGGATGCCCTATAAAGACAGACACTGACTAGATCTGTTGTATAGTGGTTGTACTGAATATACAAAGCAGTGTCTGCTATTGGTTTGCAACTCTCGTGTGTTTGACGAGAATCAGTTTCCTGTTTTAACTTTTCAAGATGGGAGTGGACTGTCCTTCTGAGGTAGGCCGGAGTGATGTCACTAATCAAGGGTTTGTTTTTCCCCGTTTTCCAAACATTTTATGGGTTATATAAGGCCGAAACACAGTTGACATTGTAGGCGAATATTTAGCCTGGTGTTCCCAAGCAGTCCACCCTCTCCCTACTGACCGCGCTCAATGCTACTTAACTTCGGTGTTCGAACGACAGGGACCAATAAATAGATATAAACAGATTCATAGTGATACACGAATAGGCGCTTTGACGTGGTTAGCAAGTTTGTCAATTACGACTAAATAATGAGTCCGATCTTCTCTGGTTGCTCCAAAATTTCGGCCTTGTGCCGCATCTAAGCAACGCTTAAAAATCGCATTGACTCTCTGAATTTAATTATTTTGCTACGTTCTAGGTACTGATAATTAGTAGTTTTTTTGACGGATTATCAAACCTTTACGACTTAATTAAAGCCGAAACATATTTTGGATGGTAGGTGTTTACTTAGAGTGCCTGATATTCCCAAGTGGTCTCTCATCTAAGTACTGACCGCGCTCGCTGCTGCTTAACTTCTGTGAATGAACGGGAAGTACCAATGAATAGATATGAACAGACTGATATGGAAATATGAGAGTTATAAATGGACAGACATAAACATGAATTAATTGAAATACAAATTAATAGACTGATATCAACAGAAAACAACAGATTGAAATAATTATCGATTTTTTCTTTCTTTTTTCTTTATCTTTTCTTCTTTTTCTTTTTCATTTGTGTGTGTGCTTCTTGCGTTGATTCTTTCTTTCCTTTATTTTGGTTTATTGACTTCTTCATTGACCCTTTTTACATTTCTCCTTCGGTTTCTTTTTTTCTTTTTTTGTTTATTTCTTTGTTCTGCTTGTTGGTTGCTACTTTTTTTCTATCTTTTACATAGTTTTTTCAATATTTTCTTTCTCGGCTGCTTTCTTTCTTTATTTATTTATTTATTTCTTTCTTTCTTGATTGCTTCCTTTCTATATTTTCCGTCGAAATAGTTTTCTTTTTCTTTCTTTCTTTTTTCCTATCTTTATTTAATTCCTTTCTGTAATTCCCATCGTATTATTCTTTCTTTCTTTCTTTCTTCCTTTCTTTCTTTCTTTCTTTCTTTCTTTCTGTATTTTCCGTCGAAATAGTTTTCTTTTCCTTTCTTTCTTTTTTCCTATCTTTCTTTAATTCCTTTCTGTAATTCCCATCGTATTATTCTTTCTTTCTTTCTTTCTTTCGTTCTTTCTTTCTTTCTTTCTTTCTTTCTGTATTTTCACTCGAAATAGTTTTCTTTTCCTTTCTTTCTTTTTTCCTATCTTTATTTAACTCCTTTCTGTAATTCCCATCGTATTATTCTTTCTTTCTTTCTTTCTTTCTTTTCTTTCTTTCTTTTCTTTCTTTTTTTCTTTCTTTCTGTATTTTCCGTCGAAATAGTTTTCTTTTCCTTTCTTTCTTTTTTTTCCTATCTTTTATTTAACTCCTTTCTGTAATTCCCATCGTATTATTCTTTTTCTTTTTCTTTCTTTCTTTCTTTCTTTTTTTCTTTCTTTCTTTAATTCTTTCTTTCTTTTCTTTCTTTTTTTATTTTCCGTTGAAATAGTTTTCTTTTCCTTTCTTTCTTTTTTCCTATCTTTATTTAATTCCTTTCTGTAATTCCCATCGTATTATTCTTTTTTTTTTTTCTTTCTTTCTTTCTTTCTTTTCTTTAATTCTTTCTTTTCTTTCTTTCTTTCTTTTTTCTGTATTTTCCGTCGAAATAGTTTTCTTTTCCTTTCTTTCTTTTTTCCCTATCTTTATTTAACTCCTTTCTGTAATTCCCATCGTATTATTCTTTTCTTTCTTTCTTTTTCTTTTTTCTTTCTTTCTTTCTTTCTTTCTGTATTTTCCGTCGAAATAGTTTTCTTTTCCTTTCTTTCTTTTTTCCTATCTTTATTTAACTCCTTTCTGTAATTCCCATCGTATTATTCTTTCTTTCTTTCTTTCTTTCTTTTTTTTTCTTTCTTTCTTTCTGTATTTTCCGTCGAAATAGTTTTTCTTTTCCTTTCTTTTTTTTTCCTTTCTTTCTTTTTTTTTTTCTGTAATTCCCATCGTATTATTCTTTTTTCTTTCTTTCTTTCTTTCTTTCTTTCTTTCTTTCTGTATTTTCCGTCGAAATAGTTTTCTTTTCCTTTCTTTCTTTTTTTTCCTATCTTTATTTAACTTTTCTTTTCCCATTTTATTCTTTCTTTCTTTTTTTCTTTTTTTCTTTCTTTCTGTATTTTCCGTCGAAATAGTTTTCTTTTCTTTCTTTTTTTTTCCTATCTTTATTTAATTCCTTTCTGTAATTCCCATCGTATTATTCTTTTTTCTTTCTTTCTTTCTTTTTCTTTCTTTCTTTCTTTCTTTTTTTTTCTTTTCTTCTTTCTTTCTTTCTTTCTGTATTTTCCGTCGAAATAGTTTTTCTTTTCCTTTCTTTTTTTTTCCTATCTTTATTTAACTCCTTTCTGTAATTCCCATCGTATTATTTTCTTTTCTTTCTTTCTTTCTTTCTTTTCTTTTTTCTTCCTTTCTGTATTTTCCGTCGAAATAGTTTTCTTTTTCCTTTCTTTCTTTTTCCTATCTTTATTTAACTCCTTTCTGTAATTCCCATCGTATTATTCTTTCTTTCTTTCTTTTCTTTCTTTTTTTTTTCTTTCTTTTCTTAATTTTTTCTTTCTTTCTTTCTTTTTTCTGTATTTTCCGTCGAAATAGTTTTTCTTTTCCTTTCTTTTTTTTTTTCCTATCTTTTATTTAACTCCTTTCTGTAATTCCCATCGTATTATTCTTTTTTCTTTTTTTTTCTTTCTTTCTTTCTTTTTCTTTCTTTTTTCTGTATTTTCCGTCGAAATAGTTTTCTTTTCCTTTCTTTCTTTTTTCCTATCTTTATTTAACTCCTTTCTGTAATTCCCATCGTATTATTCTTTCTTTCTTTTTTTTTTTTCTTTCTTTTCTTTCTTTCTTTTTTTTTTTCTGTATTTTCCGTCGAAATAGTTTTCTTTTCCTTTCTTTCTTTTTTCCTATCTTTATTTAACTCCTTTCTGTAATTCCCATCGTATTATTCTTTCTTTCTTTCTTTCTTTCTTTCTTTCTTTCTTTTTCTTTCTTTCTTTCTTTCTTTCTGTATTTTCCGTCGAAATAGTTTTCTTTTCCTTTCTTTCTTTTTTCCTATCTTTATTTAACTCCTTTCTGTAATTCCCATCGTATTATTCTTTCTTTCTTTCTTTCTTTCTTTCTTTCTGTATTTTCCGTCGAAATAGTTTTCTTTTCCTTTCTTTCTTTTTTCCTATCTTTATTTAACTCCTTTCTGTAATTCCCATCGTATTATTCTTTCTTTCTTTCTTTCTTTCTTTCTTTGTTGACACCCTTACAATCTTATATTTTTTCATTGTATGTCGGTACTTTTGTCATCTTTTTTATTCTCTCTATTTTTCTTTCCCTTTCTCTTTTATATGTTGTTCTTTTTATTCTTTTGTCATAATTTTTTAGTAGTTTTCTACTTTTTCTATTCTTTCGTTTCTTTGCTTGGTTGTTTAAAAATGAAACTACCAAAATAATGAAATATAGATAATTCGCTATTCATTACTTTCTTTTTTTTTCTTTCTTGCTTTTTCTTTCTTGCTTTTTCTTTCCGTTTTTTTTTTCTTTTTTTCGTTACTTGTATCCCCTTTCCCCCTTTTCTCTTTTATTTGTACGTATGTTTCTCGCGATGATTCGCTCTTTCTTTCATTTTTGTTTATTGTTTTCTTCCTTGCTCCATTTTTATATTTCTTATTTTATTTTTTTTGTATTTTAGTTTTTTTTTGTTCTTTTTTATTCTTTGTTTTTTCTTTCTTTTTTCATTTATATGTTGTTCTTTTTATTCTTTTGTCATAATTTTTTATAGAAGTTTTTCAATTGTTTGTAAACTTTAGAACAGATATGTAAGCATGTAAACATGACGCTGTTGA